AACCCTTGAGAAAACCTCATCAGAACCCGGTGACTTATTTTGCTTCAGTCTCTCTATCTGCTTCAGAACCATTTCACTAGTGACTGTGATGTTACATAATTTATCTTCTTCTGGCCCACTATAAAAATTAATTTCCGGAATATTATTAGTGTCTTCCTGTGTAAAAACTGAGAGAAAATTATTATTTAAAATCGAGCACATTTCTTTCTCTTTGTCGTAAGATGCCCATAGTTATTTTTTAAGGGGACCTATCTTATCTCTGACTTTTGTTCTATATACCTGGAAAAAACTTTTTGGGTTTTTAGTTTTAGAATCTCAGCAACTTTAATTTCATAGTTCCTTTTAGCTTTTCTTATCCCCTTTTTTTAATGTCCCTCTTAATGTCAATATACTGATTCATAAGATGACCCCGCCTCTTTGATACGCCTATAAATTCCTTTCTTATGCCCTAGTAGAAATTTCAGCCTATATTCATCCATTTTGGGTCATTTCAATTTGATCTAATTTCTTTATAAGGGATAAACGTTTTTTGAGCAGCATGTATAGTGTTCAGAAAACTGTCATTTTGATAGAATCTCTTCGTTACCACCCCAGTCAACAGATGAAAAGTGTTCTCTAAGCCCATCGAATCTGCAAAGGGCGAAAAATCTGGGACTGTTACTGAGTTATCCCTACTATCATACTTCCATTCAATGCTAAATGTAATTGATTTGTGGTCGCTAGCACCCAGTTCCTCTGAAACTTAAAAATTTATTAAAAAGGGGATTCTTTGGTTTGCCAGAACTAAGTCAAGCGGGTTATTACCCCTTGTAGGTTCTGTCAAAAACTGCTTCAAAAAACAATCCTGAACTACTTCTAAGAAATCGTATGATTCTAAATTCCCAGTCAGAAATTCCAATCAATATGACTAAAGTTAAAGTCCCTAGAATTACTACATTATCGTGCCTTGTGGCCCTAAGAATTTCCTCCCATAGTAGTCTCCCCTGGTCCCTATCTAAATTTGGGGGAGGGTATAATCACACCAAAAATTTAAAATTTTTCATGCCCCTCTGAAAATTCTATCCAAACAGACTCTATATGTGTTACTTCAGACTTAATAAACCCCTTTTTAAAGCAACAGTTCAAGCGATCTCGGACATACAATGCCAACCCACCCCCCTTTCCGACACTTCTACTACTTGGAACAATTTAAAACCCGAATGTGACCCTTCCGCAGGCCCTGTCCCCGACTTTTTGAAATTAAACCACGTCTCAGTAATGGCAAAAAAATCAATGTTACCTGCACTAGCAACTAGTCCCCAACTCGTCCCATCTTTTTCCTAGCACTGCGACTATTGTGTAATAAATAATTTTAAAAACCCTCCTCTCTCTTTAACCCTTCCGCTCCTTTCTGTATTCCACTAAACCTATTACTGTTCTTGTCAATTAGTGCCACTGGCTTTCCAATATCCACCTCATTTTGCCTATTACTAGTTTTCCTAGTACTCATATTACTATCCTGCGACTTCACAGTTTTCCCGCCAAAACCCAACTACTAACTATTCCTAAATTTAAAGACCTAACAGCTCCCTTTCCCCTGCGTTGGCCAGTGCCCCAAACCCCCCCCTAGATAAGTGAACCCCATCCCTGGAATACATGTCATTTCTGCCATAGAAGAGGTCCCAGTTGTCAATGAATGTTACCGCATTTTCCTTACAGTATTTGTCCAGCCAGCAATTGACACCAATTGCTCTGGACAACCATTCATTTCCAACTCCTCTCCTTGGCAAAATGCCACATATGACAGGTTTCCCACCTTTCCTCCTAATTATCTCTATTGCTGACCTATACCTGCTAATCAGGTCCTCACCCCTACGTCTGCCAACATCGTTGCCTCGAGAAACTGTAGATAAGCAGATACTGTGTCCGATGTTTCTAATCTTATATCTTGTCTAACACAACAATTTAAATTTTCTGTGACATACATCGCCACTCCACTAGCCTTCCTGTTGACGTTTTCAGTTTATAACCCTGTATGTTGCTTTCAGAAGGCATTTCTCTGTCTTTCAAGTTGAACCAGGCTTCTGTAATAGCAATAATATCTATATTTCCTACACTTGCAAGTAATCTTAGCTCATCTATCTTATTTGTTAGTTAGACTCCTACTATTTGTATGGTAAACCTTAAGGGAACTAGTCACTCGTTGCCCTCTACTATCTCTCTTTGTTTGTTGAGCAATTGCTCAACAAACACCATAAACCCCTACAATCTATTAATTTTTAAAATTTCCCAGACAATCCCTCAATTAACCCCCTCAATCCAATTGGCTAAGCAACCACTCCATCCCCAGAGAGATGAACTTTCCCCTCCCTTGCATACTTATCATGTTTGCCATAGAATTTGTCCTAGTTCCTTGTAGTACCTGTATAACCAGCAATTTATACCAATTGCCCTAGACATCAATTCATTGCCCACTCCCCTTCTAGGCAAGATGCTACATATGATTGTGATCACTTCTCTTAGACCTGACAAAATTTCCCTGACTGACCGTACTTACCAGCAGCTCCGTCTCCTGGGCCCTTCCCGATGTCATTTCCACCAGCATTACCTAACATAATATTATCCAACCTGTTGACTATGTCACCAACACCAGCTCCTAGGAGGCACACCACTTGTCTTGCCTTTCTATTTCTGTTACAAAAAGTATGGTCCATATATCTTACCTGAGAATCTCCTACAATTAGAATATTCTTACCTTGATTATCAAGGAAGTCATTGGTACGTTTAACCTCTCTAACCACTGAAGTACACTCGTCCTGGAGAACAGAGAATCGATTTCCTACCTTCACATCTTCTCTATTAACCTTCCTAATCTTCCTTCTTCCTGAACTGTGAACCATTTGCCACTTAAAGCTGCTGCAACTCTTCAGCTCACTGCTGGTTTACTTTTCCTCACCAGCTCCAACCATCTCACTCACTCCCAGACCCATCTAGGCGAAGATTCAGCCTCCTATTTTTCTCCTGAAGAAGTAGAACTTCCTTCTTCAACAATTTAACCTGAGTTTCCAAAACACTACAGCAAGCCATGGTGCTCGGTAACACCCCACACTAATTCCCAGACAACTTAGGACAGTGACTACACACGACCTCTGACTGCAGCGTACCAGGGACTGATGGAATCATGACATAAATGTTAAAAGCAAGTGAGAATATAGGTTTGGAGTAGTTAATACATTTGTTTAGCAAATGTATAACGAGCGGAAGGTACCTAGTCATTGCCAAAGTACGTGCGTAGTTTCTTTGTTTAATGCAGTGGTTCCCAAACTGGGGGTAAATTACCCCCTGGGGGTAATTTAACCATTTTTGGGGGGTAATGGAGGGGTGACAGAAAAAAAGTTATGAATTCTGAAAATCAAGAAAACAATGCGGTACCCGGTATGAGGATTATTGTTAACTTTGTCTTAGTATATAAAGTTGTAAAGTAAACCTATTATAAGTAAGTAATAAAGTTAAACCAAATAACAATAAACATCAAAAACTAATATACAGTATTAGAAAAGAAGAAATATATAGCTAAGTGTGTGGAAACCCAAAAGTATTTTGACAAGTATGCTTCAGGACAAAAAATGAGGACTCTGGATTCGGCGCTTGGAGAAAGGATTGATCGCCCAGTTTCCCACCCTAGACCAGTTTGTTGAGGAGAATAGTCATGATACTGGATCACTTCTACAGACCCTCAACAAAAAAATGAGCGACCATTTGAAGGGGCTTGAAACAAGCATGCATCACTACTTTCCAGAGAGTGACCAAGAAACAGCCACTCTTCAGTGGATCATTCATCCCTTCTCTGTACCTGATGATGCCATTCATGATGATGATTTCCCTGCAAAGGAGGAGTGGATCACAATGCGAGCCAATGAAGCCTTGAAAATCGAAAATTTCCCAAAAACCCAAAAAGCAGATTCCTTTTGGATTTCACGACTACCTGACTCGCCAAACTTGTCCAAGAGAGCCTTGAATGTTGGTATCATTCTCAACAACGTATCTGTGCGGAAGGGGCCTTCTCAACTGTGCTGGGTATGAAAACAAAAAAGAGGACTCGCTTGAATGTTGCAAACGATGCCAGGCTGGCACTTTCAACCACGAAGCCAAGAATTCCTACACTAGCTTCAAGTATGCAACTCCATCCATCCCACTGATGTTCTTGAATCTTTGGGAATAGTCATTAGAGATGCACAATGTTCAAATACAATAAATAAAAGAAAATATCTCAAGTGTTTTAATTTAGCCATATATATCAATAATAACAACATTTTGTGAAAGGGGTAACATGCTTTATATGGCATGTTAAATTGGGTAACAAGCTGAAAAAGTTTGGGAACCACTGGTTTAATGGGAAAGGGGATAAAAGGGAGTTAAAGAATTATAGGGAAATAAGCCTGTTGAGTATACGGGGAAAATATATGGTAGACTTATTATTGAAAGAATTAAGACTAAAAGAGAGAGAGCAGGATCGCAGATGAACAAGGTTTTAGGAAGAGCAGGAAATGTGCAGGCTACGTGTTTATATAGAATTATATTAGTGAACAATTGTTGAACATGGGTAAGAGTTTTCATTCATTTAAGGGATTTAAAAAAAAGTACAGTAGGGCGGATAGAGAAACAATTTGGTAGATCTTACAATTGTATATAATTAATGGGGGTTCTTGAAGTTAATATTTTTTATGATGATAGTGAAGCCAGGTTTCAGCTTAGGGAGTAATTTATTATTATTATTATTATATTATTATTATTAGTAGTAGTAGTATTTAGTAGTAGTAGTAGTAGTAGTAGTAGTAGTAGTAGTAGTAGTAGTAGTAGAAGTAGTAGTAGCAATAGCAGCAGCAAAGTCGTAGTAGTAGTATTATAGTTTTTATTATTATTATTATTATTATTATTATTATTATTATTATTGTTTAGTTAATTTTTTAATATTTTTTTATTTTAGAAATAATAAGAAATATTTGTGAACAAACTAACATATGATTGGTGTTGTTGTGGATGACACAGATCTTAAAATAGCAGCTGAGAAGGGGAATGAGGACATTGTGAAGACGCTCCTTCTAGCTGGTGCTGACCCCAACTATATGGATAGATATCTCAGGACACCACTACACTACGCTGTTAGAAACAACCATGCTGGAGTTGTTCAAGTGTTATTAAATGATTCCCGTTGTGATCCCAATGCAAAAGAAAAGACTGATTCCAACCTTTCATCTGGACTTTCTGGACACTGGATTAAAGGTACTGTGGTAATTGTTATATATTTCTAAACTACTTTATGAATCTTATTCTGATTTATATAAACTTTGTTATGTCCTTCTCTATTACCTTGTGTGTGTGTGTGTGTGTGTGTGGTGTGTGTGTGTGTGTGTGTGTTGTGTGTGTGTGTGTACTCGCCTAGTTGTGGTTGCAGGGGTCTAGTCACAGTTCCTGACAACCGCCTCTTTGCTGGTCGCTACTAGGTTCTCTCTCCCCACGCTCCACGAGCCTTTTTATACCTCTTCTTAAACCTATGTATGGATCCTGCCCCATTTGCATCATTTTGGTGTTCCATTCCTGAAACTCTATGACTGAAAAAAATGCTTCATCTCTGTGTTTCATCCATTTCAGTTCCATTTTGGACCCTGCGCTTTATTTGCTGGATATCCTATATGTCATTAAAAAATTTCCCTCTCAGTATTTTACAACTCTTTTTCATGTCACCCCTGTTCCCCCTTTCTTCCATTGTCTCAGGTCGTTTCCCCTAAACTTCTCCAGGAGATGCCTCTTTTTTTTTCGGGACTATTCTTGAACAAACTTTTGCACTTTTTCAAATTTTCGTGTCGTGCTTCCCATGAAGGGGGTTCAAAACTGTGGTGATACTCTGTACTGGTGTAGGGAAAATTTTGAACTGAGGTGTGGGGAATGCTATTCACAGGATTATTTCGTTCATATGCTGCAGCAGTTTTTGGTTGATTGTGCCCCTCAGGAGATGTATTTGTATATACTCACCAAAAGATATTTTTTCCATGAGTGAGGTTTGCATCTTTGGTCCAATAGAATGTACTCTTTGGCGATCTTTCTTCCGATCTTCATGATTTTTGCACTTGGTGGGGTTAAACTCCCAGAGCCGTTGCGGGGCCAGGCTTGCGGCTTGTCCAAATCCTTTTGTAGTCTTCCCTGAACCTCCCCGATTGAATTTCCATTGCTTACAATTTGCAAAAAGGGAACTTCTGGTCATCCCTCCCATCAGTAATTCACATTTCCAAAAACAGTACCGGGCCCTAGACTGACCTTTTTTGGAACCCCAGTCGCACGATGCCTCCCTGGAACTCGTCAAGTACCAAAACCTTGTTGCCTCCCTGTCAGGTATTCTAGACCCTTGCAGTCCCTTTCCCTGTTATAACTGTCTGATCTCCGCTTTTGCACAAAATTTTTGTGAGAAAATGGTTGTCGTGTATAAGCTTGTTCCTTTTAGGTGTTCCCCCACTCTTTTTTGATTACTCACACTTTTCATACTAAAAATACAGTGAACTTCTTTCTGTGAGGTGTGTGACTACCCAGTTTATTTCAGGGGTCGAGTCCAAGCTTGTGTGTGCGCGTGTGTGTGTGTGTGTGTGTGTTGTGTGTGTTGTGTGTGTGTGTACTCACCTAGTTGAGGTTGCAGGTGTCGAGTCCAAGCTCCTGTGTGTACTCACCTAGTTGTACTCACCTAGTTGAGGTTGCTGGGGTCGGATCCGAGCTCCTGGGCCCGCCTCTTCACTGATCGCTATAGGTTCACTCCCCCTGAGCCGTGAGCTTTATCATACCTCTGCTTAAAGCTATGTATGGATCCTGCCTCCACTACATCACTTCCCAAACTATTCCACTTACTGACTACTCTGTGGCTGAAGAAATACTTCCTAACATCCCTGTGATTCATCTGTGTCTTCAGCTTCCAACTGTGTCCCCTTGTTACTGTGTCCAATCTCTGGAACATCCTGTCTTTGTCCACCTTGTCAATTCCTCTCAGTATTTTGTATGTCGTTATCATGTCCCCCCTATCTCTCCTGTCCTCCAGTGTCGTCAGGTTGATACCCCTTTAAACCCTCTCCTCGTAGGACATACCTCTTAGCTCTGGGGACTAGTCTTGTTGCAAACCTTTGCATTTTTCTCTAGTTTCTTTACGTGCTTGGCTAGGTGTGGTTCCAAACTGGTGCCGCATACTCCAATATGGGCCTAACGTACACGGTTGTACAGGGTCCTGAATGATTCCTTATTAAGATGTCGGAATGCTGTTCTGAGGTTTGCTAGGCGCCCATATGCTGCAGCAGTTATTTGGTTGGTGTGCGCTTCAGGAGATGTGCCTGGTGTTTACTCACCCCAAGATCTTTTTTCCCTTTAGTGAGGTTTGTAGTCTCTGGCCCCCTAGACTGTACTCCGTCTGCGGTCTTCTTTGGCCCTTCCCCAATCTTCATGACTTTGCACTTGGGGATTGAACTCCAGGAGCCAATTGCTGGACCAGGTCTGCAGCCTGTCCAGATCCCTTTGTAGTTCTGCCTGGTCTTCGATCGAGTGAATTCTTCTCATCAACTTCACGTCATCTGCAAACAGGGACACCTCAGAGTCTATTCCTTCCGTCATGTCGTTCACAAATACCAGAAACAGCACTGGTCCTAGGACTGACCCCTGTGGGACCCGCTGGTCACAGGTGCCCACTCTGACACCTCGCCACGTACCATGACTCGCTGCTGTCTTCCTGTCAAGTATTCCCTGATCCATTGTAGTGCCTTCCCTGTTATCCCTGCTTGGTCCTCCAGTTTTTGCACCAATCTCTTGTGTGGAACTGTGTCAAACGCCTTCTTGCAGTCCAAGAAAAAAGCAATCCACCCACCCCTCTCTCTCTTTTCTTACGCTGTCACCATGTCATAGAACTCCAGTAGGTTTGTGACAAAGGATTTCCCGTCCCTGAAACCATGTTGGCTGCTGTTGATGAGATCGTTCCTTTCTAGGTGTTCCACCACTCTTCTCCTGATAATCTTCTCCATGATTTTGCATACTATACATGTCAGTGACACTGGTCTGTAGTTTAATGCTTCATGTCTGTCTCCTTTTTTAAAGACTGGGACTACGTTTGCTGTCTTCCATGCCTCAGGCAATCTCCCTGTTTCGATAGATGTATTGTGTGTGTGTGTGTGTGTGTACTCACCTATTTGTACTCACCTATTTGTGGTTGCAGGGGTCGAGTCATAGCTCCTGGCCCCGCCTCTTCACTGATTGCTACTAGGTCCTTTCTCTCCCTGCTACATGAGCTTTATCATACCTCGCCTTAAAACTATGTATGGTTCCCGCCTCCACTACTTCACTTTCTAGACTATTCCACGACTTGACTACTCTATGACTGAAGAAATACTTCCTAACATCCCTTCGATTCATCTGAGTCTTCAACTTCCAATTGTGACCTCTTGTGTCTGTGTCCCATCTCTGGAACATCCTGTCTTTGTCCACCTTGTCTATTCCGCACAGTATTTTATATGTCGTTATCATGTCTCCCCTGACCCTCCTGGCCTCCAGTGTCGTCAGGCCGATTTCCCTCAACCTTTCTTCGTAGGACAATCCCCGTAGCTCTGGGACTAGTCTTGTTGCAAACCTTTGCACTTTCTCTAATTTCTTGACGTGCTTGACTAGGTGTGGATTCCAAACTGGTGCTGCATACTCCAGTATGGGCCTGACGTAAATGGTATACAGTGTCTTGAACGACTCCTTACTGAGGTATCGGAACGCTATCCGTAGGTTTGCCAGGCGCCTGTATGCTGCAGCAGTTATCTGATTTATGTGCGCCTCAGGAGATATGCTCGGTGTTATACTCACCCCCAGATCTTTTTCCTTGAGTGAGGTTTGCAGTCTTTGGCCATCTAAACTATATTGTGTCTGCGGTCTTCTTTGCCCTTCCCCAATCTTCATGACTTTGCATTTGGCAGGATTAAACTCAAGGAGCCAGTTGCTGGACCAGGCTTGTAGCCTGTCCAGGTCTCTTTGTAGTCCTGTAGTCCTGTAGTATGTGTGTGTGTGTGTGTATGTACTCACCTATTTGTACTCACCTATTTGTGGTTGCAGGGGTCGTGTCATAGCTCCTGGCCCCGCCTCTTCGCTGATTGCTGCTAGGTCCTCTCTGTCTCTGCTCAATGAGCTTTATCAAACCTCGCCTTAAAACTATGTATGGTTCCAACCTCCACTACGTCACTTTCTAGGCTATTCCACGGCCTGACTACTCTATGACTGAAGAAATACTTCGTAACATCCCTTTGACTCATCTGAGTCTTCAACTTCCAATTGTGACCTCTTGTTTCTGTGTCCCAACTCTGGAACATCCTGTCTCTGTTCACCTTGTCTATTCCGCGCAGAATTTTATATGTCTTTATCATGTCTCCTCTAACCCTCCTGTCCTCCAGTGTCGTCAGGCCGATTTACCTTAACCTTTCTTCACATGACATTCCCCTTAGCGCTGGAACTAACCTTGTCGCAAACCTCTGCACTTTCTCTAATTTCTTGACGTTCTTGATCAAATGCGGGTTCCAAACACGTGCTACATACTCCAGTATGGGCCTGACGTACAAGGTGTTCAGTGTCTTCAACGATTCCTTACTAAGGTATCGTAACGCTGTTCTTAGGTTTGCCAGGCGCCCATATGCTGCAGCAGTTATCTGTTTGATATGTGCTTCCAGAGACATGTTCGGTGTTATACTCACCCCAAGATCTTTCTCCTTGAGTGAGGTTTGCAGTCTTTGGCCACCTAGCCTACACTCCGTCTGCGGTCTTCTGTGCCTTTCCCTGATCTTCATGATTTTGCATTTGGCGGGGTTAAATTCGAGAAGCCAGTTGCTGGACCAGGTGTCCAGTCTGTCCAGGTCTCTTTGATGTCCTGCCTGATCCTCATCTGATTTAATTCTCCTTATTAACTTCACATCATCTGAGAACAGGGACACTTCTGAGTCTAACCCTTCCATCATGTCATTCACATATACCAAAAATAGCACTTGTCCTAGTACCGACCCCTGTGGGACCCCGCTCCTCACAGGTGCCCACTGTGATACCTCATCACATACCATGACTCGTTGTTGCCTCCCTGTCAGGTATTCACTGATCCATTGCAGTGCCCTTCCTGTTATATGCGCCTGATCCTCTAGCTTCTGCGCTAATCTCTTACTTCTCGTGTGTTACTTCTGTTACTTTATTATAAAACTCCAGAAGGTTTGTGACACAGGATTTGCCTTCCATGAATC